TCATAATTCAATTCCTTCACAAGATTGGACTCGGGAGCATCTATAGATTATGCTAAAGTTCTTCGTTTCGAAACACAGCATGCGACGGAGGTGGTGAAACGAATAGACAATAATGAAGGAGTTCATGTTCCTTTAGAGTTGGTGAAGGGGAGATTTATTTTTTGTGCTGCAGATAACATTGATTTCCTAAAAGATACTCCGTATGGAAAAAAGACCCTCCACGGCACGGTAATGGTAGTTTATCAAGTAAAAGAGGATTCAGACGCACCTAACTCAACCAGAATATCAGGATCATCATCACATCGCTCACTACAGAGAGTTCCTCATTCGCTCTCTGAAATTCTTCCGTGCAGCATTCCGAGAGGATGCAAACCACAGAACCCAGTAATAAATACGATAACAGATTGTGCAAAAAGGAATAAGCGTGTTATAGATATCCATAAGAATGAAGACCTCCTATGGATGATGGCGCAACTTTTTCAATTGAAAGATTATCAACACGTTGGATGACGAGTTGCTGGATACGAATTACAACATTTCGGATGGAAATGAGACAGGTGCAAGAAAGATTCAAATATTTGAAATACAGTCCCTTCTTAGTCAGCTTTCAATTCTATCATTAATAAGCCAAATATAGCTGAAACCAGAGTTTGTGTACTTCCGCTTATAGATTCCAGTCCAACCAGCACAGATACACAGGTCACATTCATTAAAAAGATGGAAAAAATAACATGTAGTGTCACACCTGGAGCGAAAACAATCGTTACCTTGGATCTTGGTCTGTACAGGCCCTTATTGAAATTGTCTATGGCTAAGAAAGACATATCCGAAAATTGGATTCTTAGACCCGGTGAGTTGCACGTAATAATGGCAATGTTTCGCGCTATGGTTCATTGATAGATGGCTCAGGTCTTGAAGCCACTTTATAACTTGTCTTTATGATGAAAATGTTGTGACTAAGATTCTCAAGGAAAGCGCGTCAGGAGGGCAATTGATGCACACATATCATTGAGGCTCGCTCCTTTCAAAGTGATATGTTATATGCGATGAGTTCTACAAAGAGCATGTTGGTATGAAGGAAAACCTAAAACCATTGTTGCAGAAGCTGCTTTCGACTTTTCAAGGTGAAGATTCGCGAGAGATAAATTCATCTCATGATGAAATGGTCGAAATTTTGGAGAATTTGGATGTGCTGGCAAAATTGGAGGCATTTGAGACCAGAGAATCACAAGAGAAGCCTACACTGAGAATTGCAATTCAATACTGTCGTATGGTTGACACAATGCTCTTATTTATCAGATCTGTCCGAACAGCGAACTGGAATTTGCACCTTGCTTCTCTAGAAGAGTTTGTAAAGTACTTTTTTGGTCTGGATTTGATCAACTATGCGAGTATGATAGCGTAGTATTTGACGGATATGAAACAGCTTGAAGTCAGAGAACCCGGGTTATGGCGTGAGTTATCTAAAGGAAATTGGGTTGTTAATAAAACAAAGGTACCCTTCTGTTCTTTAGGTACGGATGAAGCTCTTGAACAGGAAAACAGGGCAATGAAAGTACTTGGTGGTGTGGTGAATATCACTCAAAGAAAACCAGCTTTGACCAGATTTTTCTTAGCCTCTCCTGAACTTTCAAGATTGGCTAAGAAAGCAAAAGGAATGTTGGGAATAACAGATCAGAAGAGATTAAAGCATCATCATCTAACACCGTATAAGGCCACGCGGCAAAAAGAAGATGCTCAAAAAATCTATAATTCTATAATGTCAATGACTAATCCAGTAACATATGAGGAAAAAGAACTTATCAACATCTCAACAAAGGCAGTTTTTGATGAAGAAATCGAGAAGGATACCTCAATATTGTTTGAAAGAGGATGTGAAATGTACAACACATTCAAAGGAGAGCGGATTCAATCGATGACTTGGGCACCAATGAAAAAAGAAAAGCTGAAGCTGTGTAATGAAGCATGCAAAGTTGTTAAGACAAAAGTATCTGAAACAATAATACAGTTGAAGGCAGATCGTTCATTGTTCACACGTTTACTAATTATTTCAAGAAGTCGAACAGATATTAATTTGAAAGAATGTTTGAGTAGATACGAATTTTCGGCAGTGCCTCGTTCTATGTTCAATCTAGACGGGACAATGATTTTAACTTCGAACAAAAGCAAATTGATGAAGATTCTTGAAGATAAACAACATTCAAACTCTGATTACTTGCCCCAAGTTACATCGCCTGTAGCGGAAGATAGACTGTCTCTGCCAGAACAAATGAATGCAAACTACTTTATTTTCTGTAGTTGTTCTTGATGGAATGGCAGAATTACAGTTCCTTCACAAACCCTTACATGTGAAGACATGCTCCGATCTTGCGGTTGAATTCAACAAAAAAAATAGAACATTATTTGTCGAAGTACATTGAAACTCATTAAGTGTTTGATACGTACTTGGAAAATTCACTCAAAAATTTCATGAGAATGAAAAGAGCTGGAAATGCGACACCCGTCGAGTACAAAATCAGTGACTCTACTGATATAAGAAGAGTTGCTTTGAAATCTCTCTTATCTCATTATAAGACGAAGGATGAGTTAACTGAATAACTAGCACATAAAGTTGTTTGCACAGAAAATTAAAAGGAATCTGGTGGTGAGTTGGAGAAATAAAGCCAAGTCATCGTTGGGAAATGATGTTCATGAACTCGAAAACACACAAGAGGAGGCAGATACGAAAATAATTCTTCACTGTTTATACATCGCATCTCGTGCTTCCACCATTAACATCTATTCACCAGACACCGATGTTTTTCTTCTTTTGCTGTGGTGGTCAGAGTATTTTCCAGCAAATTTGTCACTGGAGTTGGTACTAAGAGAAGATTTATAGAACTCAAACGTGTGTGCTCTTCCCTGGGTACTACAAAGGTGAAGGTCTTTATGCTCTATCTGGGTGTGATATCACTGGGTGCTTAAAGAATAAAGGAGAACTTTCATTCTGGAAAGCGTTTGAAAGTACAGAAGAAGACGTCATTGAGGCTATGGGAAGGCTGGGATGTAGAGAAAAATTCGAACCAGAGTATGAAGAAATTATAGAGAGATTCATTTGTCAGGTGTACTCGCCACGAAAGGAGTTTTCAGATATTGGTCAACTACGGTGGTTTCTGATTACGAAATAAGAGGTGCAAAATGAAAATCTACCGCCAACAAGTCTAGCAGAACACATCTTGAGGACCCATTACCAAGTGATGGAGTGGCGGAGTGCTAATCTTCAAAACCCAAATCTTCCAGAGCCGTCACAGTTCGGATGGGAGTTGTCGGAAAATAAATATTCTCCTACGATGGGTAAGCTTCCATGTGCCCCAGAATCTATTATGCAACTAGTACGTTGTGGTTTTGATAAAGGACGCTGTACTGTAAATTGCAGATGTAAATCACAAGCTATAAGATGCACAGAACTTTGTAAATGTGGTGGCGATGAAGATGCGTGCGATAATAATGAATATTGTAACGCGGAGATTGACTTTTTGAACTCTGGAGATGACACGTGAACACTTGAAATCTCAGCACTCCTTTTGTCACATGGACATTGTTTTATAAGCATAACCTAATTATTGAATACATTTTTTGCAGATAAATTCTCGAATTGATTTACAATTGCTAGATTTGTTATCACAAATATTTTGATTCCCAATACAATAAGATATCTCTGAAACGGTGATAAATATGGAAAAATGTATTTGATACCTTTTTTAATCCTTTTTCTATCCCAAACAAAAGAGTTTCCTATCAAAATTACCGTAGGATACATCCTAAGAGTGTTACGATGCAAAAAAGTGATTGATGTCCGTCTTGGCAGCCATCTTGGAATTATGAAGTCACACAAGGTATCTGACACATTTTCGAGCAAAACACCTGGTGGTATAGTTTATGCAAAGTCAGTTGGAAAAACACATCACCGTAAGCCGTCGGTCCCTTTGAAAGTTCAGAGAGTGCGGCAGCGCGGCCCGACATTCGTTTGATGATCTGTTCAACTGACTTTGCATAAACTTTACTTGATTGTATCATCCATGAGCTGTACATTTTCACTAGTCGCACGTTTCCTTCATTTAAAATCCCACGGAATCACATTCGCCCCGAACTAAGGATGTAATTCAATGTTCTGCGTGGCATTAGCCAGGAAAGTAGATGTTTTCCTCCCGAAATCTACCATTGTTGTTCATTTTATGAGCATTGTGTGAACATGACTTTGAGCTTTTAGTATTTATTTAACATTTCATTCCACTTTGAGCATTGTGGCTATTTCGTAGTTGAAATTACGCTAGTCGGGTAACCAGCCACTCCCCCAGGGGAATCGGAAAAAAAACTTATCAACTTGTAGTCCAATGAGCTGAATCCAGTTTGCACTGTAAACAATGATTTGTTTGCAGGAAATAGCCAGTCCGCAGTATATCAGCCCAGTCCGCAAATCAAACCCATCCTTTGGTAGGCACCCATAATTAATGATTAATATCTATTGTATGTATCAAGGAATCAGAGGTATACGAGGTGTTTTCGAAATGAGTACATATATTCAACACATCGATATGATACAGTCTAACGATTATTCCCAAATTCTACGAAAAACGAAATTAAAATCAAGTACGCTACTTCAAGGCAGTTAGAATGATTGAACTCGGCATGATTACGCCTGCTCGTGAATTTGTACAGATGTGACGTCGGAATTGCAACTGTGTAGAACTTTGGGTGGAAATAGGGGTCTCACCCAAAATGTTATTATAATCTCTAAGTATTGGTATCATTCAGGGTTCGAAATATTTGTTTTTAATTCTATGTTACCCTGTATATTATTTTTTTACGAAAGAATAAAAATCTGAAATATTTTGATTTCTAACATGTTGCTTGAGTATTTTTGAAATCATCAAATTATGGTGAAGCAAGAGCAAATAATGTAAATTGGTATGAGATTCTTGGAAACACTTTACTCATGAAATAATTTTGTTATATTTCAGGCCTATGTCATTGCTGAACTGGACACTTCTCCTGGAAGTTTGGACTTTGCTGTTTTTTATTCAACTGCACTGAAATATTTAGAGAAAGATCCTCAGTATTGTATTTCATTTTATGTGAAACCTGTTGTGATAGCAAAGCCAGCATTGTACCTTCATCTTTGGAATGAAACATTAGTAGGTATATTTAAAGAATTTTGCTAATCAAATACTGTTTTGCAGCAGAGATATTGTAAACATTTATTTTTTGATATTGACAAGTCAAAATACATGGTGCAGCTTTGATGATTTTTTATATATTTTTTAGATTTATCCCATACATGAGAAACAATGGATGCCCGATGAAATTCTCCATTGGATAATTCAAAGCATGCATCAGATGACAGCATGGGTGCCTCCTTCTGGTTCTAAAAGTATCACTATTTACAACAGTATGTCTAATGGAGTAGCTCTCATTTTATTCACACCAATGAACATTCTACATTTTGGAAATGATTATTATACTATGGTAGGACACAGTGAAATTAATAATTCAAATCTCTAAATCCATTTATAGTTTCAGGAAATTGCTCAGGAATACTACAATTGCAGGGATGATATTTCAGTAAATTTCAATTCTGTGAATTTGGAGCTGAAGAGGTCAGGTATGTTCAAGATAATCAAAAATCATTGATGTTACATATTGTGGCGGTTGCATATTTTAGGTCTGGAATGTATGCTTTGATAACATGGCCAATTCTTAATTGCTAGATATCTACCAAATGCGTTCGAGAGAAAATACAATAGTTATTTGTTTTACAGGGCAGAAAAGCACCAGATTTATTGTCGCGGCTGTTTCATAGCCAATCCGTAGCCGAGGCTATGGAAACAGCCAAGGCATTAAATCATGTTTTCTGTCATGTGAAACATAATTTTTTCTTCAAATCCGTTTCAATTTCACGCAAAGTCCGAATCATCCATCTGCCTAGGCAGTAAAAGTACACCTCTACTGCATAGACCGAAAAAGTACTGTCTAGGAAGAAACATTTGGAGAAAAAAATATATGTTTCACATGGCAGAAATGAAGACTGTATGCCTTGGCTGGCTTCCTAGCCTCGGCTACGTCTTGGCTTTTAAACTCCAGCCGTGCTTTTCTGCCTAGTAACACAAATAACTTTTCTTGAATTTTATTGCAGTAACGACGACTTTGTCATATTCATATCTTTTCATATTGAAACTATAGTGTTAATATTTGATTCCATATTGACACTGAATTATCAATATGAGTAGAGTAGAGTAGAGTTTATTTCCATCAATTTACATGTGTGTCTGACTGGTCAATATTACAAGAGATTAACATTAACATTAACATTACATCTCTAAATTAAGGTACATGCATACTTGTATGAATGTGTATGAAAATTGATCAATTAAAAGCAAAGCAAGACAATCAAAACATGTAGAATAGAATTTGACTCACAGCTTAATTATTATTTTTATCTACTCACTGAATCGAAAGTAGGCGTTTGCTCCCTCATTAAAGGAAACAAAGTAATCAATTTACTCCCACGGGAGGAAAAAAAACTTCCGTTGGAGGTAAAATAAATTGGTTTCAGCATGCATCCTTTGGCGTCGATATTTCTATGAAATCTGTGCAATCCAGGTAATCAGTGCCTTTATCGCTATTATAAAACAAATAACAATAATATCCTTTTTGAATTCCGATGATATCATACGCTTTTTCATATTACCAACGTACTTATTATCAAAACTTCCAAATGGAGTAACACAATATACAAATCAATGAATTCATGATGACAAATTGACTTTCGTTCAATTTCCGTCAATTGTCCATATTTCAATTTGTAAAATTTGTATATCGCTACATCAAAGTTGGGAACCAACTCCTCAGAGTCTAAACTTGTGTGGGGTTAGGAAGAGCGGGACCTACAGCTTATAGTGGAATCCGAACCACTTCTAGGGCATCGAAGTGCTGCCAGGATTACAACCATGAATCACACATTTTAAAGTAAAATGCTCAGCCGATAGCCGGATTCGAACCGACAGTATCTTCGCATCGTGAACGGCTATCTAGCGAATTCTAGCGCATACACAAACTTGGCGACGGCGCCCTAAATATTGTCCTATAACTTTGTAATGCACAATGATTTGGATCGAGAGATAGACCTTATGGGGTTATAGGGCCTGCCAATATGATTGCAGGATGCTATATACAAATGTCCAAAACCGCTTCGTTACTGACATTCAAAGTGATTTGTGAATTTTGAAAAAAAATCAATCTGCCATATTGAATACAGGGGTTAATCGATTGGGTTCTAATTTGGTACATGAAGTAACCTCAAAGGCTTTAACATGTAGCCTTCTGAACGAAATTAATATCAGGACCGGAATACATTTTTTTCCTATGAATCTACAAAAAAAATACAATTGGAACTTGTTGAGAAAGTTTCTGGCACAATTTCAGTATTTCCGTCATGAAATTTCATTTTAATTTTTTGCATTAATTCTCGGCTAAAATATCACCAGAAATAGAAATATGATGAATATTTACGAAACCAGTAAATGATTGTTGTTATTCTCTTTGATGACTTTGTAAAAATATTTTATAAATTACTCTAGTTCCTAAAAAAACTGATGAATACATTCGTATCAGGATCGGAATTACTCTTTTCCATGTTCTTGTAATACAGGGTGTCCCTAAAAGGTATCTACAGGGTCTCATTGAACAAGAACCCTGGCTTTCTTCTTGATAGATAAGACAACAAATTCAATGCCAGACCCCGGATACCATATTTCTGAAGTTTATATGACAAAAGTTTGTGTAAGACACGATCAAAAGCTGCAGATAGGACGCATAGTGTCAAAGATACCATACATCCCTCCTCTATACCTCCTACTATGTCTCTAACAATTTATCTGATTCAATATTTGTTAATATGAAAAAAAAAATACAAATATTCTTACAGTGCTTTTGTAGACTCTATATAAGTCTATTCTTTTTTGAATTTTTTTTTATGTTCTGGTCCCCACGAAAAGGGACATCTTGTAATGTTCAGAGAAAATCGTGAGAACTAAGGGAAATGAGGTAGGAATTGGTGTTCTTTTTGAATTTCTGGAGGTTATGCCTCGGGGAACACCTCCCTTGGCAATGTGTTCCAGATACTCTCTGTTCGTTGTATGAATGAGTCTTTGGAAAAAGATGTTCTGCAGATCTCCAAAGTGTCCACAAAGGGGTGCGAAGCCCCAACTCGATGGGTTAATCTCGCGGGGACTGCCAAGGGAGGAACAATTGTTGATATTTTCTACGGTGTTCCAGTGGAGTGAGTGAGTTTGTGAGCGAGGCATCACCCACGCGACGAATTGATCTTTTTTGGACAGAATTCAACAGTTTCAGGGTATGTTTGGGTGCTGCACTCCAAATATGGGAACAATATTCCAGGACAGGTCGGATCTGTGCCTTATAGATCATAAGCAGCTGACTGGAAGTGAAATAGCTCCTGGTCCGAAACAGAAAACCAAGTTTTTGTAATGCAATTTCAGCAATTGTTCTCACGTGATTTTCCCAAGAAAGGTTATTGCGAAGCATCGAAATGGATGTCTTCAAAGGTATGGTTACTCCTGACAAGCTTATGTTGGGCACAGTGAGATCGGCTTTTCTAGAGAAAAGGCATGCTTGTGTTTTGTTTGCATTGAAAGCTACTAAGTTATTGGAACCCCATTCGAGTCCTGGAAGAGAAGGGGGTATGGAGGGTACTATCATCCGCGAAGCTGTGTAGTGGACATGAAAAAATCGTTGATATGGAGTAGAAATAGTGTTGGTGTTCGAATTGATCCTTGCAGAGCACCAGCATTTATGATAAGAGTTTTTTTTTATCGCTTGGAGCGCACGAAAGGGAATCCCTATAATGTTCAAAGAACATCGTGCGTTCCTGGGGAGGATAGGGATAGGAGGTAGGTATTGGAGTTTTTTTTGAACTGTTGTAGATTATATGTTGTTGGGAATACTTCCACAGGCAATGAATTCCAGAGCCTAGCCGTTCTATGGATGAAGGAGTCTTGATAAAGTGCTGTTCGACATCTTTCGAGGTTGACAACGAAAGGATGTGCTGACTGGGCTTGTCTAGTTCGTCTGATTGGTATTGCTACATGGAGAGATCTGTTTGAGACAAAAATAGCTAGCAGAGAACCTGGGGAGGCAAGCCATAAGATGAAAGCTTGGCGAGGAGTCCGTGGTGCCAGGCTCGATCGAATGCCTTGGAGATATCAAGTGCCACGGCTGAGGTTTCACCATATTTTTCAATAGATTGCTGCCATATAAGTGAGACGTAAGCGAGCAGGTCACCAGTTGATCTCTGATGACGGGAGCCATATTGCCTATCGTTGATAATACCTGAATGTTCCAGGTATTTCATGAGCTCTATGTTTATAGCTTTCTCCATGATCTTTGAAATGATAGATAGCAGTGCGATCGGTCTGTAGTTGTTGGTAGGGTCTTTTTGCCATTTTTAGGATCTGGTTGTACTCTTGCAATTTTCCAGTTGGACGGGAATATCCCCAATTTTTGAGAGTAGTTGAACAACTTGCAGATAACAGGTGTTAGTTCTGGATCGTATTTTTTGAGAACAATCGGTGGGATTCCGTCGGAGCCACAAGCTTTGTTGTTGTTGAGACCCAATAAAATCTTCATTATAGTACGTTGGCGGAAGGTGATCTCGGGCATATGACTGTCAATTGGCGTTATGTTTGGAAGTTGTTTTTTTCATGGATCCAGAGTGGAATTTCCAGCAAATGAATGCGCAAAAATGTTGGCTTTTTCCTGGGCAGTTGTGGCTAGTGTTCCATCTTCCCTGGTTAGAGGAGGAAACGAGCTGGAAGTGAAGTTTTTTCCTACAGCTTTGGCGAAGGACCAAAATGAACGGGATCCGTTAGGACATTCAACAAGTTTTGATCTTATTTTGGCATTATGAGCATCTTTTGATGATCGAATTGTCTCATTGCATATGCCTCTAGCCTCGACATATTCTGCTCTAGTCTCAGGGCCTGGATTTTTCTGCCATCGATGGAATGCTGCCTGTTTGAAAACGACAGCTCTAGAGCAGTTTCCACTGAACCAGGCCTTATCGGAAGATGTGCTCCTTGCAGTGTTTGGTATTTAGGTATGCATCCCCAACATGATGATTTCAGAAATTGTTTCAGTACATCGTGTTGGATCTGCTGAAGAGAAACAACTTCTCTTTCATGGAAACGCTGAAAGAGCATACGAAGACCAGACCTGCCACATGAGACGGGTAGGACTTGTAGTGCTGGATGGTACATGAAAAGCGCAGGTTGTGGAGATGAGGGTGTAGTCAGAAATTCCAAGTGGGGCACAAACTTCTATTCTATATGGATCAGGATTGCTGGTGAGAAAAAGATCTAGTGTATTGGCTGACTGGTTGTTGACATCTGGAATGCGGGTTGGTAGTTCGACTAGTTGTTCTAAATCATGAGTGATGGCGAAGGCCTCAGTTTGACGACCTGCATTATCTGTTTTGTTAGAGAATTTCAGCCAGGCTGCGTTGTGTACATTGAAGTCTTCCATGATTATGATTTCAGCAGTTGGTTGGTTCTCCTGAATGAAGTCCAGCTTGAGTGATAAAAACTG